GTTATCACTAAGGGTGTCTAGCTTTATCTTGATTTAGCTCTATTTAGTTTTGGTTTCATTTGTCAGAATTGATTTTGAGATAAAATGTTACCCTCCTTCTCTACCAACCCAATACAATAGAGGTGGATGGAGCTTAGTTTGTCTTGCTCAAAGGATTGATGACTTACATTAAAAAACAACTGAACAGGAACATTTGTTTTCTGAATCAGTGTCACACTGACTCCATACTCCATAATACACAGAATACATTTCAAGGCTGTGAGCACCACAGACAAAATTCTATTCACCTCAATTTTATATAGGTGGAGAACGACATCTCAGATATGGATCTCTCCAATTATCTGCATAGCTGGACAGTACTGGTCAAGTGAGTTTTTTTTGTCTTTTAGGTGCAGCAGCCCTTTAAGTTGAGATTACATTAAGTATCTCATTGTTTTTTTGTCCTGTATAAAATCACTTGAGCTCATGAAACCAACCTGGAGAAGATATCGTTGTGTGAGCCGTGGTGACCCTCTTTGAGTCCATCTTCCCCGTAAGCATCGTACTGCTTCCTTTTCTCCTCATCTGAGAGAACCTACAAATAAACAGCCTGTCAGTTGCAGAGCAAACTAATTCTACATTGTTTTATTCACAAACAGATGTGGAACCAGTAACACAATACAATGTAATCCAATACAAAAATAATACACAGCCTTAACAGAACTGAATATTTCCCATTTCTGCCAAGGTGATGAACAAAAAAGGTTGTGTTAAGTCATTATAATTAGAAACTTTCTCAAAATACTGACTTAGCATCTCAAAAATTATTTATTTTGAGATACTGAGTTAAAATATTTTCATATTTTCCATAAATATTAGAATAGTTACAAGGGCAGTAGTGTTTGCATACAGAAGTGTATCCACTCCCTCCATCTTAAATCACTAATCACAACTAACTGTTCACTTTTAAGAGCTAATGTGAAAATGTGATCCGGAAACACCTGCAGAGTTTATCTGAATCCCCTCCCACCTATCCACGTCTGTTTTTCCTGAATGCCAGCTGTGCTAACGAACAGCCAATTAGATGCAGCCACACGGTATAGTCGACCAATCACAGTGAGCGTACAGTTTCCAACAACAACCAAATAGCTAGCTTACAACGGACTTGTGTATCGGCTCCCCAGGCGCTTCCGCACACAATTAACTGTTACATATTTTCATACACAATCTAACTTACTAAACACTACTCACAGTTACATGAGTAGAAAGTCCAAATAAGTTTACTGTGTCTCTCTTCAGCTATCACTGGCACCAAGCACACAACAATGGCAAAACACTCACCTCATAAGCTGCCCCCAAGTCTGCGAATTTGTCTTGAGCTTTCGGGTCGTCCGGGTTCCTGTCGGGGTGTAACTGGAGAGCCAGCTTTCTGTAGGCCTTCTTGATGTCCCTGATTGATGCACTCTTGGTCACCCCCAAGATCTTATAAAAATCTCGCCTACAAGAGAGAGGGAAGCAGCAGCGGTTATGGGCGACACAGACAAGACAAGAGTAGCTGTAGCTAACGTTAGATAACCTGCTGCTACCTTTACACACTGAGTCACTCACATAAACATCCAGCTAGCTAGCTGCAGTCACTGAGAAGGAAGCCGGTTTAGCTGCCCTGCTATGGAGGCTAGCTGCTAGCTAACCAAGCTAGCTAGTCAACTAAAATAGGCAGTTACGATGCTAAGTGGTAGCCGCTGAGTGTAAATGCTTAGCTAGATAAGACACACTTATTAGCAAGTTAGCTCAGTGTGTCAGCCTGCTCAGTCCTCTCCACACATGTAGAGCCGGTCTAGACCAATCACAGTGAAACATGTGTACCACCTGGCGATGCTGTTTCACCGCCGAGCACAGCACAGCCGACTCACCCCGCCAGCACCGCCGAGATCATGTACAGGAGCAGGCAGCATATATTGCAGAGATTCATCCCTTTGTGAGCCATAGATCCCAGTGTTTGTAAAACAAGTAGAAAACGAACAGCCGGCTTTTGAAGGTTGGATCCCGCTGCCAGTCACAAGGCTTCTTCCTCCTGTCAGAGAGAGCCCACCCACTGGATGTCGGCAAATCCGCCTCTCGGTCAAAACTCCGCCCACCATTAAAGACACATTCATCATTCTAGTGATGGGAAGTCCGGCACTTTTCAGTGATCCACATCTTTTGACTCAGCCTGGCAATAAGAGCCGGATCTTTGGGGCAGTGCTTCCCAAACTTTTTGGGGGTAGCTTTTTTTCTGTCACTGAGTAAACTGACAACCCCTGACTAAGTGACATATTTTATGGTTATTAACAATACAGAACAACTGATGGACTGTACAATGAACCCAAACAGTGAACACAATAACTGCAGGACGTTTGTGTAAAACAAGAGATTTGGCTGAATTTTCTGACTGTATTGTGTCAGTCATAAATAAGCAAACAATTTCATTTAGTTTCCATCACACAATTAGAGTTAATGCTGAGATATGGACCTAGAATGTGTATTTTTTACATTTTCTTACAATCAGTAAGGCCTCGCAACCCACTGTGAAGCTTTGGCATCTCCTAGTGGGAGTCACGACTCCAAGGTTGGTTACTGCTGCTTTAGGCTCTTAAAAGACTCTTCATTTAGTTCCACCGCTGGCTTAAAATTCAGCCAAATTCAGCAGTGTTTTGACCTATTGGTATGTGTACACATATATCACCAGAGGAACCTGATTTTTTCACAAATTATATGTCTCATGTTCTACTGTCAGGATATAGTGAAAGTTTCAGCAAATATGAAAAAAAATATTTCTATAAATTTTTAAATGTATTTTAAAAAAATAATTAAAAAACTCACAAACAGGACCAAGTGTCGTGCCAAAAAGGGATTTTCAGTCAAAAAATGATTCCTGCCTGCAGGAGCATGCACAGCCTGTTAAAGCTGCAGCTCCAATACATCAACTGCTTTTATCTGGAACAAACAGTCATAACGTGCATAAACACATAACTTTATGTCCATGGTATTAACTGAGCAATCAAAATTGTGGCCAAAGAAGCATTTGCAGTTTATAGCGTAACTAATCCGGCATGACATTTACATGAGCAATAGCAATAGGTATAGAGGTTTCCTGTATGTTTGACGTGTCTCATATGCTTGTTTAGGGATGTGGACTGGTAGCTGGAAAGGTGCCAGTTTCACCTCCTGTGCACTGCCGAGTTGCCCTTGAGCAAG